TAATGTGCAAAAACACAAATTAAATAAATATGTAAAAAATACAACTTCTGCTATGGGAAACTTTCACTGTGAGTTTGTTGAAAGACTGGCGCATTCACGCTAGCGACAAGATATCGAACGTCTGGCAATTATTTTTCATATAAACAATAAATAAATCTTACAAAAACAGTGTAATTTTACATATAGTACAATCACGATCAGATAAGTTCGACTATATAACATTAAACGGTTGACTTATCGTTGATTCGCGTATAATATCGCAACGGTGAAACGTCTTTGCCATAAATATTCTGGCTTTGAATGGCGAGGGTTTAATAATTAATAAGTTATTAATATGTTTTATGTAATACACATTTATAATTTACCTGAAGATGTTTGACCATATGCAAAAATAGTGCCGTTGTATCCTGCCAATACATCTGTGACAATTGATCTAGCTGCTTCATTGTATACTTTGTCTTGAGTAGCATTTGGTTTAAATACTTTGTCAAAAAGGTATACTTTCCCCTAAAAGAATATAATAATGTTAAATTAAAGAATATATTTATATAATATAATACAATATTAATCTCAGAAATTAACGATATAAGACATTTATTAGTTCTGAATATAATAACTATCTCTTAATTTTGATGAAACTTTATTTTTATGTTATATTTCTTGAACAATTAGTGTAGAACACAGTGAACATTATATAGCAAAGGATATATATAGCATACACATTTCTAAATCTCTTTGAGGTATGAAAGAATATAGGGAAAAGGGAGACAATTGCACTCAATAAAGCTTTGTTTCATGAGCCCCTTGAAACAATAGCGATATCTTTACTCAGCACCAAGAAGATCAAGAGGTTTTCATATGAAATGGTATATTCCTGGACATAGTGTCTATTTAAAAGTAGATATATTACAAACAATTTCAAATTGTAACATTTTTAAATAATTTCAATTATCATACAAACAATTATGAATGTGATCAATAACCATACAAACAAATCATGGATAATTACAAAAATACAGTTTTTTACAAAAAATTTCTTATTCATATAAAAACAACAAATCCAGGTTTTTGACAATAAAAGGTTTTAAAAATATTGACACTATCAATTAGAAAAAATCTAATCACTGTCATTGATAATAATCTCTCTATACTTTATCTATGTCTTTCTATAAAGTGCAAAATAATTTATTTTTTGATATTATTGATAAAATTGTACAAATATAGTGGTATACAAAACATGTTCCATTTACTTGTTATATATTTTTGCAAAGGTACAGTGTAAGAAACTAAAGAATCAAAGTGATGCAAACGTTTTGTAGAAGTATAGTAGATTGTAAGAAACGTGATATTTGTTAGATCAAATCTAACATGACGATCGTTAGTTAGATTCAAATTTAGGAAATACAAACACAATTTAGATATATCGCAAAATTGAGAAATTACATTTATTCGAATGACGGAACTCAAACGAACAGTGATAATTTTCTAATGCAGAGTATAAACTTTGTTAATGTGATGATTGATTATCGTTACAATTTAAAAAAGAAGTTTGTCCGTCGATAATACAGGACTGCATCTATTTCGAAATTAAGGTTTAATCGGTTGTTTAAATAGATGCGACAACGCGAAGAAATCATTCACTGAAACGGAGCACCGATAGGGAGGTGGAATGAAATCGATTTCGCCGAAAATAACAAAAGTGAATCGTTATATGTTGCCTGAAAAATTCTGCAATCGATGTTGAATGCATAGGATGCGGTATATGGATAGGATACTGGACAGAGAAAAGGACCGAAAGCAGCTGTCAGCTGTGCATGGTGACATCACACGTAAGCCTGAACACGATTGACTAGCATGATAACTAAAAAAGACGATGACGTGCATAAAATACATACCCCGATCGAGATGCAATTTTCCTCGACTCCAGAGGGAAATTTCACGACAAACTTAGAGCCAGCCTTTTCCTCTGAGTCGTTCAAAGGTCGAAACCTGCAGACTACCTTAATACTGTCCTCCGCGGCAATCTCACGCTCCCTCGGCGTCTCCATTGCCATATTTCGGTAGCTTGGATTCGTGACACGAGTTCCCTAGTTCTTCAGATTAGCCACGCTTAAAAATGATTTCCGATCTCTCGTAGGGTGCATAGGCAACGAGATGGTCGCGTGAACCGCATGAAGAACTACTACCGTCTCTCTGTTACAAACCACAGCCCGTTTCGGAGCCACTAAAGATGGCTGCCGTTGCTCGATGATTTTGCGGGTGGGCTGATTTGCGTGTGCAAAGGTGAGAATCAACGATTGTACTTGTATTAGACCGCAGAAGGAACATGGACGACAGGTTACACACAGCAGTATAGATTTCTAATACATTACTACTCTAGACTTTGTTCGGAAGTGGTTTTTTGATTATACTTGGTTCTCTAAAAAGCAATCGATGAGAAGTCTAGACAAAGTTTAACGCAAACGCGTCGAACTAAACGTGCGCGCGCGCTGTACGACTTGTCTGTTTGCGCATTCGAAACAGCCTTGTCGGCGGATATCATACGTTGTCAGGGCTGTAACCTGCGTGGGCGTCGCTTCTTACACCACTTTCTTTTAAATCACTTTTTTGGTAATATGTACGATATCAAAATTTTCCTCTGAGAATGAATCAAAACCCGTCAATAACCTTTGGCACATAGTTACAAACAGTATATATTAAAGTTGAACATAATATTTCAGCTCATTTTTTTACTTATAAAAGATCTTAAATTTACTTTATAAGTACCTTTTTTTTAAAGTATTGCTTTATGTCATTTATTCGTATGTAAGTTTACAAGTACACTGTTCTTTGTAGCGACAATATACTTTATCAATTTTTGGTTTCTTAAAAACAGCATAATAATAGGAAGTCATTTTTATGCGAACATTGCTATGAGTAATTGTATTGAGTAATTCTTCACCAAAGTATTTTGTATAAAATAAAAGAATAACATTTGAATTTAATATTTAAATTCCGATGTTGTTAAAAATTAATTTCCGATTTCTCTACTAGGTGGCAATTTGTACTTAGTTCATGAAGTAACATTTTCGGTTAGTACAAATTTCATTTGATATTCATTAGCGTGGAATATGAAAACTTTAACTTTTCTATTATTACAATTTCGAAAAGCAATTTAAATTTATCAATTTTGAAGTACAAATTCTCTAATTTTACAGTTTATGAATAAAATATTTTGAAAATGATTTCAGTATAATAGTTATTCAAATCGTGGAAACACTTAATATGTTACTATTATATTACCGCACTATATGTAATAAATAAAGTTACATATTTTATAAACGAAACAGTTTGTTTATTATTAACACTATATTGGGATTACTAAAATTCTAATATTGCATAGAACTGTTAAATAATGTTAAATAATGCAGTTTTTGTAAATAGAAGTAATTTTTAGTCGCAAAAATTTGAATATCTTTATTCAAAAAGGAACAAATATTTAAGCGTCAATTTATGTATCATTTCTCTGTTATCCGAATATATAATCCAGATCATAAATTGTAATGTGTAATAAATATACTACAGTTAGTTTTTAAAAACATTTGCAGTTTAGTGATTTTTAATCGATTTTTTTTTTACTCAAGTACGGTCCTGTCTTTCTTTACCCTCATTATTTTTGTTCTTATATCCTGCCGTGACCTTCATAACCTGACGTTTATTGATTTAAACAGATTTTGCACTATGCGTATGCATATACTGCAACATTTGTCGTAAAACCTTTTGATGAAAATATCTTTAGAATATTGTATATATTTTTATAAAACAATAAACGTTTTGCAAAGTAAAACATCGAATTGATAATACGTTGAATGTAAAACTTCAATGAACATATTAGGTAAAAATGCGTTTTCTTTGTACTTATTACGCAATGATGAGAATACGTACGAAACTGCTAAAAATGTTATCATTCGGCTTTCTTTTTTAAATCTCTTATTCAGGTAATAAAATTGTCAAGGATCAATTATTTTTTAAATTCAAATACGATTAAAAAAGTTGAGATATGACAAAATTTAATACTTAACCTGGTATATAATTTCTAACTTCAAGTCATCAAATGTAAAGATGTAATCATACATGTTTCCGGTACATATTTTTAGAAAATTGTATAACATACCACGACTGAATTAGATTTTTCGGAAGACACCGGTCTTCAAAAGTTTCATATTTCTCAAATATGTAATTTAATATAGGATTATAATTATTTTATTAATTAAGAAACATCATATTGTAACTTTTATTTTTACATAAAAAAAGTTTGGCAAATATTAGTGAAAAACAACGATGTTTAATGTAACATAACAAAAGAGGCACATTTTATTTTCTTTAACAATAAAGTAAAGAATGCTCTCACACAGTCATGGTTCTTGTAAATGTGTTATCTAAGATTACAATGCCTGTATCTTGTACAGTACATACTAAATAGTTTATAGTTTGCTATGCTATATGACTAGTTTACAGATAATATAAAGTGCAACTTATTTTCAACAATCACATAATATTAGTATTTCCATTTAATAAATATTGTTACTATTATTACTACATTAAAGTTATTATTGTTATTTATCGACATCGTCACCGCTATCACCACACAAAATTAATCACAAAAGTGAAATTTTGTTAAGTAATATAGTATATTGTAAAGATGGTTTCATATTTTATATTTAATAATCGTCAAATTTGCCAATGTTTACATATTTAATACTTTGTTTCGAATTCTATTAGACAACAAATAAATTCATTAAATTATATTTCTCGTGCAATGTTTTATCAGAATTTAAGAATAGTATAAACAAAGTTATATTATTTTTTTTATCTTTCACACATTGCGGAAACATGTAAACGTTTTATATTTCATGCATGTTCGTTTTTTTAAAGACGAGGAACGACTGAACGATTAAAAGACGAAAATTTTTTTTATGCGAAAGCCGCAGAAGCGAGATTAAAGTTCAAGAGGTAGTGTAAATCTTGAAGCATAGGAGCATCTACGTATACACCAATCAAGTAACAGTTCAAGTAACATTACAATATTTCTTTACCATATTTTTATCTAAAATTGGTTTTAGAGAATTAAATAAACGAAATTACAAACAATATTCTACACATCAAATACAATTATGTAAAGTGTTTATATTAATACTAAATGCAAAATCAAAAATTGAACGATAATTTATCATTATTATTACTTTCACTGACTTTGCCTTCCTCATATACTATTCGTATTTTCATTGTCTATTCATTCACCGATTTTCTGGACATTTTACAAATACTTCATTAAATTTTACTTGGCCTGAAGGTAAATTACATAAAGCACGTTGAAAGAATGTTTATAACACTTCTTGATATTTTGTGAGAAAGTATCTCTCAATATGCAGTAAAAATTCTTCGTTTTATAAACATTCTTTTAGTTCTTTTGTATAACATCGTAAATTGATTACAATAGTATTAAATAAATTGACATGGAATGTCTCAAAATATTAGAAAAATAGTTGCAAATTTAATATTTAAAAATATAGACTAGAAATCATTATCATACCTATGAACTAAGTAGACAACAGAATAAATTAGCAATATAGCTGCACTATATAGGGTGAGTCAATAACAACGGCCATCTGAAATAACTCGTTATTTATTGATTTTAGTAAAAAATGTCACTGAAACGTATAACTGAAAAATAGATTACTGAATTAGTCTTTTTATCAGCTACAACACAGTATTATTAAAAATACGCGGTGCTATTTGAAAAACTCATCAAACTCAACACAAAAACTATAAAATGTGTCTGTTCGACGAGTCCCATCGAATACAACATACTTGATAAAAAAGGTTTTTTGCTGAAGTCAATAAATAATAAGTTGTTTCAGATGGCAGTTGTTATTGACTCACCCTGTATATTTTATTAAAATGCGATACTTGTTTTTCAATTTCCATAAAAAACTTGTAAGAATGTTTTTGTAAAATGTAAAGAAAAGAAGCTTTTATATAAATTATGTTAAATAAGTTACCTACTTCTGCATCAATTTCACATTTAGTTTTTTTTTACTATATCTATAATGTTCTTTCAACAATTTCTAGAACTATCAAAGTTTAAACAAAATTAATTGCATGAATTCATATCGAAGTATTTTTACGTTCTGTATTAAATCTCTTATTTTTGTACAAGAAATTTACTGCGCGAATTGTTATTCAGTTTCAATATAAATAGATTACAGCAACATGTGTACAATATTTAAAATTTTCAAAATATGCGCAACTGTTCTTCTCTTAGATATTTACATTTTGATACAGTTTTGATTGTAGTGATCTTAAAAATCCAATCAAGAGTTTCTGTGTAATAGAATACATCACCAATATAGCTTTAAATCCGTAATGACGCTTCATTCGAATAATTTGAAGCTTAATATTCTCGTTATATCGTCATGTATCTGCTGTAATCATAGCAAATTTGTTTTATTCTATTCCAAAAGTATTTGTTTCTTCTACAGCCAATAAAAGCTTTTCATATAAAATTTCGGGCGTAGGATATGGTGGAAGGTCCAAGCGATTAAAGCATGTATGAGCTCTGAAAATATATTTAGTTTGAAAAACAGCATCATCGGATAAACTATTAATAATTTTAGAAGATAATGATAAAAATACCATATAAATATCACAGAAATTATAGTTATTTTGTTAGTAAGAACATTCATATTAGAACAAAAGTTTGCATACCTGGGTAAACTATTTGGCCTTCCCCATTTTTCAATGCAAAATTTTCGTGGTCCTGTTGATCCACGTAAAGCCGCAAATCCTTCATATGGAATGCTTGATGTACCAGTAACAAATTGTAGTAACCTTAATCGTTGTTCGTTAGTAAATCGACTTATACTGCTCCAAAACCATTCTACCACTGGATGAGCATCGTGATAACCACTTCTGTATTCTGTATGCGTTCTCCAATCGTTAAGATCAATTTCAGCTGCTCCAGCTATTACTAATTCCAATTCTCGTGCATCAAAGACCGATACTAATCGTGGATCCACAACTTCATAAAATCCACGAACCAAAGATTCCGTTTGTTCGGCAATACCGCGTTCAAGTCTCCAACGTACAACTCTTTCAAGATATTCTTTTTTATTTTTTTCGGTAACTGCAATATTTCTACCTCCTGGTTTTAATTCACGTTCAGCTACTCGTCCCAAGAGTTCTTCCGTGACTGAAAAAGTCAATTCTAGCGGTTCGATACTTATATCTCTTTCTTTGATCCACATTAAACTTTGGTGGAATTCCTGATCTAAACTCTCTAAATCGCTGAGACTTGCTGGTATTCTTAAGAGAGCTTTATAAAATGGTCTTGTGAAAAAGGCGTCAAGCAGGTATTGGTGGACTAAAGCTAAACCCAAGACTCTGCCCGAAAACCTGAACCAATCGTGGTAATTATCTACGAAAGCTGACATTGGCGATACTTGTACGGTATAAGTGTCGTTAGCAGAATACTCGAACAACCCATAATAAGGATTAAAAAGCTCACGCGACAGATGAAAGAAAAATTCACGAGATGGTCCACCATAGTCTACACCTTCTTCCTCGTCAAACATAATTACTAACTTATTCTTTTGCAAGTCTTTCTTTGAAGCAGCCATAATGCGAGTAAAAGCGTCTTCCAAAAAGTGCTCTCTTCTAATATGTAATCTAAGTAAGATATAGAAAAAATGAGGAAGAATATAATTCGTATTATTATTACATTTATTATATTAGGATAAACTTACTTTAACTTTCCTGGACCTTGTCCATATCCTTTACTTTCTAGCTTCCTGTAAAACGTTCTAAGTTTAGCTTCAAAATCTCTCCTGTACGGAGCTGGAGCTCTAGCAGAAGCTCTCGTTAAGCCAGGCGAAGCATGAGGACTACCTAGTGGAGATCTGCCCACGTTTCCAGGTACATATGACATAATTTCTTGTTCAAATAAGCTATAAAAATAAATGCAATATGTTGATGTCATTCAATCCCAAACTGCATTAAAAAAACATACTATTTCATACCTTAATAATAATGCTAGAGGTACATCATGTCCCAATCGTTGTAAAGCAATTGTGCCTTCAATACGTATTGTATTTACTTTCTCTCGAAGCGCAATATTTTGTCCTAATGCCGAATGTCTTTCTTTTAAGATATCCATTATATTTGGTTGACGTAAAAATGCAACAACTTTGTCGTTATAAGCTACGGGTATATCAGGTGTAGTTGTAATAGCTGACTGTTGTGGTCTGGGTGGCGGTACAGGTGCTTCGTCTAATAATGTTCGTGTGTGTGCTGGTTCAGTAGGTAATCTTGGATCAATGAAAGATGTTGCTTTTCTAGCGTGACAAATGAAAAATCTCTGAAATTATATACAAATCATATTTAAATACGCTTCCACCACGCTTGGAAGGCAAATTTGAAATAGTACAAATAATATAAATCGTAACATATTTACTTTTCCTGTTCTATCAAGTTTCGATTCGTAACCTCTTGGAAGTTCCTTGCTTGAATCAGCAAAGAAATTTATTAGCGCAACTAAATCTCTATTATGCTCATATCTCGGAAAAATTGCTGTATCTCTTCTGATTTTGCTAATCATATGCTTTAAACTGGGATTACGATTATACAATTCCACTGCTTCTGCATGACTATGTAATACTGTGAAGAAATCTGGTCTTGTTAAAAATAATACTGGAGGACTCGTATTAATGTCGAATGGTTCAGATTCATTTCTTTCGGTTCGTTCATTCGGTCGTTCGACATTTTCAAAGTTATTTCCATTTACATGCTGCAAACTAGTCGGTTCTCGATCAATATTATCAGGCCGAGAAATAGTTCGACGAACGCTCTGATAACGTCTATCTAATTGCTGCCTACGAAGATCGCAGCCCGTGTTCCGTGTTGTTAAACTGGGCCTCTGCCAAGTAGTAGTTCGATTAATATGATCTATGTAGAATACTCGACCATGACTGTCAATTCTTGCCTCCCATGCTGCAATAATAGTATATTTAATGAATTTATCTCTTTTAATAAGTTGTAAAATTATTAAATATTACTATAGTAAAATTACAAATTTATTAAACATTACATAAAGGTAAAGGTTCTTCAGAAGATAATGGTACATTTGATGTTTGGCACATCGGTAATGGACGCAATGGTTTTGGACGATGTGTAGGTGTTGGTGGACATTCCAATTGATTTGCTAATCCGGATGCTGGTCTTTCCAATGGTCTAGGTGCTCTTGGTGAACTTAACAATGCTATACTTTTTGTAACAGCCCTCCGAGACTAAAATATTAAATTAGATATTTAGAGATACAATGGTTTGATGTAATTTGTAATAAAAAAAAAAAAAACGACACATAAAAAAAGAATTATACAAATATAAGAAACTGTAAAACTTTTATATGGAACATCAATATTCACATTGAGAGTCTCTAAGTAAGAGATATCAAGAAAATAAGATGCAAATTGTAATTTTTTTAAAATTACATTATATGCTTACCAATTGATTTCAGTGCATACATATATTTTATTAAATTACCTTTGAATTAGAAGCTTCATCAACATCTACAATTTCAAATCCAAAACAATCTTCAGGGTGCAAGGGTGCAGAATATTTTTGAGGATGTCTTTTAGGTAATTCTGGTGGGCCAGTTGGTAAAGCATTACTTCTATGTAAAAGTTTGTGCGTTACCCGTGGTGGAAGTGGTGGAGGATTTGGATATAACGTCTCATATAAACCTTCAGGAAATGAAAAGCCTTCTGTACTTCGCCACAAGTGATAATATTCCACGCTTTCTTTTGTTACAATACCATTTGTATCACATGGCCTCTAAAGTAAGATATATGTAATAAATTTTAGTTCTAAAATAGTTATAGTTTTAACATTGTTGATACTATAGTTTAAATTATTAATTTGAAGGAGTGTAATATTAATCTATTGATAATTCTTAAATTAACCCTTAACTGGCAGTACCTGGATCATTTGAGACCTATGATTTACATGTTCAGTTTGTAGCAATAAAGTTATAAACAAAAAAGAAACACCTGCAAAAGTAGTTTTTAGTATATTGACATGCTTAGAGGAGGATAAAAGTGATTCAATGCACAAACTTTATAAATATAATAAAAGAAACTGATTGCATGCATACAATGTAATAATAATAATAAATATTGCTTTATTTATAAACTTTACAACAACTACTACATTTTTTACTATTATGAAATATAAAAACAATAATAAAACAATAACACATTTATCTATAGCTGAATAAAATGTTAATACACTTAGTTTGGAATGCATAAAAGTGGAATACTAGTATGGGTCTCAAATGATCTGGGCACCGCCTTTTGTGGCCCGCCGACAAAGGGTTAAAGTTACATTGCACATGCATACATAACAGTGCAAAGGAAACATGTATTTGAATATAGTAAAAATCCAAATCAGTTTGATTAAAAAAAAAGAGAAGACATCAAATATATAAGTAACATTAAACACTGAAAATAACAATAAAAAGCTGAGTTATTTAATATAATGATAAATCTTTATCAAATTTTAACATAGTTAAAGCAACTGCACCTTTTTGGTCCCATTATGACCTAGAACTGCTTGCTGTGATTCTGTATCAGAATTACTTGCATCACTACTGTTTGAAGAACGGGGTTCTATTTCTATGCCTTGGGCTTCATCTAAATGATTTTTCTTAGTGGATGATGGTTCCAAAAGTGCTACAGCATTTTCTTCCAATTCAGTTTGTTGAGCACTGGCAGTTTCAGGTAAATTTTCTAAAATTGGCAGTTTAAATGGTTTTTTTGTAATATCATTACAATGTACTAAGTCTGCCAAAGTATTTTGTGATTTTGGCACACTTCTAGACATATGCGAACTACCAGCTTCATTTAATTTACTGAAATTTTCAGTAGTATTCTTATTATTGTTTTCCATTAAATTTAGTGATTTATGTGCATTAGCAATATCATTGCTGTGTGCTTCACTTATTGAAGTGCTCTGAAATTGTGATTGCTCATCAGAACTACAAGAAGCTATACCCTCTAAAGGTAAACTGCAAGTATTCTTTGTAGAGTCTCTGTTAGTGCCAAATATATTTTCATCATTATTATTATGCCTGTCTCCAGTATTTTGTTCATATTGAGATTCTGTACTACTTGATTGTAAATCTTTACTAAAAAATTGTTTTTTTCTAATCATGTTTCTGGAAGATAATGGTAGCTGTTCTGTAAAACTGTTTACCTTCACAGGGCTGTTATCTACATTTGCCAAGAAACACTGTTTCCTGGTTAAGTTTTTATGAGACAGTGATGAAAGCCTTTGATTCGAGTTTTGTGCAATTTCATCATTTAATTTATTTGAAACATTACTAGTATTATCATCTTCACCTACTGATGTTGCTATAGTAGCAGTCTTCAAGACTCCACTTTCTTTATTACATTTTGATTCAGAACATACATTTGGTTCTTCATGAGAGTTTAAAGTTTCAATATCATTGACTTTATCAATTACTTCTCTTTCGTAAGAAGATGGTTCTGATTGTTGCAAACCATTTTCATTTGATGTACAATTTACATCTAATGGTAAAGAAGCATTTTCATCTTGTTCTATAAAATTATTTTTAACACTAGACATAAATACTTTTTTATTATTACTTCTTATGGTATTGGTTTCCACATGTTTTACCGTAGTTGTTGATCCTTCACTTGTGTCAACTGTTAATAATGTAACAGACTGCTCTTCAGACTCATCACCTTCATTGTCTTTCTCAGAAGCTGTATCTCTAACATTAATCTCAGATGGCATTTTTTAAACCATAATACCAATCAATTGAATCTTTTTATATTGCTGTAAATAAGGATAAATTTAAACTATTTCAATTACAAAATTTCTATTCTTAAATAATAAAGTCACTGCTGCAACAATGAAAAAAGTGTGTCGAATGAAATTGGGACTACACTTGACACATTTATTCATGAGAAATACTTTAACATTTATTTTTTTTTTTAACTATATAATATAAGATCACAGATCAAATTAGTGTAAGACCAAATTAAAGACCAAATTTTATTTAATCCAAAGTGTATACAACAAATATTCGGTTATGCATCAATGTACAATACAATTGCCGCAAGGCACATAACTTGTTTTATATTCGACACTGGGAATTAATATTTAAAATCATAACGAAAATGAACTAATAAGAATTGTCATAACTTCCGTTAATTATGCGAAACATATTACGGTAAACATGTTACAGTTGATTTATATGATACGGTATCTCTAGAGGACATAATTAATACTTTACATTTCGTATACACTAGAAAAGTCAAATTGTACAGAAACATTATCATATCGGTACTTTTTACCTGCATATGTTACATTTTTTCGAATATCCTAAATGAAAAACCCCGGTAAAGTCATTTTACGTCACATTTACTCTTTTCACTCATTACACGGATACATCGAAGAACGCGTTACTTTGACAGAAAGATGTAGCAGACTGTATCTGGTAACTTTTCGCAGTGACACATATCCTGGTTTTTCATGTGTATGAATCATGAATAGTAGTTGCATATTATTGGTTACTTGCTATAGCACACAATCTAATTTATCGAAAATCTTGTTTCATTATTTTTCATTGATATATTTAGATGTTAAAACTGATTCTATTCCTTTGATGCTTTTCTTTTCAAAATAAAATGGAAAATTTAATTTTATATTGTCCAAAAAGAAATAATATGCTTTGTATATTCTTTCTTGTTTGAAACAGAAAATGTGTAACACTATTTCAGTCTAAAATCGTTCTACGAGATAACATTTAAGACAATTATCTTTATGCAATATAAATTGAAGGTAATCAGCTGACTAGTCTCAATAGAGTTACAAGTGTTTAGTTTCTTCTTGCGTATTACTAGGTGGCGGTGTGGTTAACTGCTTCGAATTTTAACGCAACATATTGTTAGTCCGAGTTTAACATAACCTTTTTCGTTTGGTGTGTAGTGAGGAACGGTACGTGAAACTATAGAAAATCCGGAAACTTGATAAAAATCATTTACTTAAAGTAAAATATATACATATTAGCTTAATGTAAATGAATAAGGAGTGATAGAATGTATTATATTTTTAAAAAATAATATACTGTCACAGATATATGATTAAAATAATATGTGACAAAAATGTGTAGTGTTGTTATTAATTTGTTTTCATAATTGAATATTAATTAATTTACGTTATATTTATGATTTTAATTTCAGTCCTCTAATATCTTACAAAAATGGCTATTCGACCAGTATATAGGCCTACAATTGTGAAGAAGAGAACAAAGAAGTTCATTCGTCACCAGAGTGATAGATACAGTAAACTAAAGGTGTGTTATTTATTATATTGTTTATCATTATTTATCAACTGTAACAAATTTAAGAATGTTCCTTTTCAACATTATTGCATTGGAGTATTTAACATATAATATAATGCTAGTAAAACAATTTTTCAGAGAAATTGGCGTAAACCAAAAGGTATTGACAATAGAGTTCGTAGGCGTTTTAAGGGACAATATTTGATGCCCAATATTGGATATGGAAGTAACAAGAAAACACGTCACATGCTACCAACTGGTTTCAGAAAAGTTTTAGTACATAATGTTAAGGTAAGGAATGTCAACTTTTAATATTTTTCATTAATCAACATAACTGTTACTGATAGAAAACCACGTTGCTATGTTCCAAAATTTTTTGAAAATATTTATTATGTCTCATTTCTTTTAATTATGTTAAAGAATGTTTATATATTTTCTTGTGAGGAATATATTATAAAATATTCTGTGACATACATATACCCAAAATAAAATAGACACAAATGTGTTTGATTGTTCTTGTTAATCATAGTTGGTTTTTTGGAATTTACAGGAACTAGAAGTTTTAATGATGCAGAACAGAAAATTCTGTGCTGAAATTGCTCATGCTGTGAGCAGTAAGAAACGCAAAGCTATTGTTGAACGTGCCCAGCAACTTTCCATACGTGTAACTAATCCTAATGCAAGATTACGTTCTCAAGAAAATGAATAAGATTATATTCTTATTTGGTTTAATAATAAAATATTTAAAGTATGTTTGCTGCTTTTAAAATCTTTTCCTACCACTTATCCCT